CTTCATGTTCGCAGGTTCAGCGCCTGCACTTAACATCGAGGTGCTTTGTGGGTGGAAACTGTAGGGACGTGCAGGCACAACAACAAACCTCTCGCTGTTCGGTCAGCGAGCAGCACGGGCCCAGAGGTGAGCAGGCTTTACTGGCGCTGCGTGCCGCACACGGCAGCGGCTTGGGTTCGCGGTTGTTTATCGGGAGATTTAACTCAGGGAGATCCCTCGGCTTCCTGCTTGCGGGCTGGAGAACTGTGGGGCTCCCTCTTCAGGCGTTGAATGCCTTCGGCCCTTGGTTCAGCCGCTGCCGTGGCATTTAGCCAGTTCGGTTACACGGTAACCAAACGGAGTGAAGCAAAACGCGGAGTGGGAATTTTTCCCTTGGAAGCGGTTGTTTATCGGGAGATTTAACTCAGGGAGATCCCTCGGCTTCCTGCTTGCGGGCTGGAGAACTGTGGGGCTCCCTCTTCAGGCGTTGAATGCCTTCGGCCCTTGGTTCAGCCGCTGCCGTGGCATTTAGCCAGTTCGGTTACACGGTAACCAAACGGAGTGAAGCAAAACGCGGAGTGGGAATTTTTCCCTTGGAAAACGGTGGCTAGAGCGTGGTTGGTGTACTGAGTAACGTGGGGGGATTTGTTTCTTCTTAGGTTTGAGTACACACACAAGAAACAGACGGGCGGAGCGGGCCAGTATGGCAAAGTGATCGGCGTTCTGGAGCCCCTGGATCCGGAGGACTACACAAAAGTAGAGTTTGAAGACAGAACCGTTGGGACAAATATTCCCAAACAGTTTGTGCCCGCTATTGAAAAGGTACAAATCATTTTGTGTGTGTGCATGTGGATAAGAAATACTGATTCTTGTTGTTTTCCTGCTGCACCGTCCACATTTGCCGTGACTGTCTTGCCCCAGGCAAGGAGGCTTTTCCCATTACTGCAGTGGAAGCAGCATCAAATTTGTGTGGCTTTGCTTAATACCTGACATTCCTGGGTTTTCCACTTCATTTAGAAGCTGCTGCCTGTTTTCTTTGGCGGTGTGTGCTTGCCCTGTTTCTGTAGCAGTGCCTCAGTGCAGAAGTAGGCTTTCCTTTCTTAGGGCCGAACGAGCCTCCTTCTGCTGAGTCTGCTTTTGAACAGCCCTCTTCTGCTTTTGGCTGTGGCCGCGCGATTCCCGTCTCTAACCCCAAAGTATGTAACTTTTTTTGCAGCTTCTCCGAGGCCAGTTATGTAGGAAACTGTAATTAAGCTAGATTTCCTGCATGAATTACCAAATAGTCTTTCTTTTTCATCTCTCCTGCGGGCTTCCTCTGTGTCTGCCTCTCCGTAGCTGTGTAATTTACCACGTACTACTTTAAGTAGTACTTACCGTGATCTTTCAATTCCTGTGATAATGGGTCAACAGAAAATAATTCCCTCATTATTCCATGATGCAACGCTTTAAGATTTTTGCCAAATCCTGGAAAAAGCATGCAGTCTTAAAAGAATCTTGTTTTTCAGTCAAGTGGTTAGAGTTCTGTCCACACAGAGCATTCCTTGGGGTTTTGATCATACGGTCCCTTAACAAAGCAAAATCCTGAGTACATTTCTTTTTCTTGTCCTTAGCTCGTTACATGGTTGTTTTAAAAAATCAGTATCAAATTGAGGTGCCAAAAACCGATAGTACAAAGTTTTCAGATGCTTGGGAATTGAAGGTTTTCCCCACCATTATGTTCTTCCATCATATTATCAAGCAAGAAGGTCTGTTGGGTGGGTGGGGGATTGCTGTTAAAAATCATGGAAGGTTTTGGGGGTTTTTTGTTATTGTTATTTGGGGGTTTAAGTTCAATGTCTTTTGTGGGCTGTTGTCCCTCCTACATTTTTTTTTTTAAAGCTTCATTCTGGTCTAGAAACCGCTAACTCGGAGATGTTGTTTGACAGGGATTCAGAGAGGCATGTGAAAAAGGTCTGGTGTCAGGGCACAGGATCTCTGGAGTCCGGTTCGTCCTAGAGGATGGTGCGCATCACATGGTGGACTCTAATGAGATCTCCTTCATCAGAGCAGGAGAAGGAGCCCTGAAGCAAGGTACAAAGCCGGTCGTTTGAACGCGTGGCCCTGCTGGCTTCTTTATCGGTGGAGTTCAATGGAACGACCTCCTTTGTGTAGGTTCGTTCGCTGCCTGGTGTGTCCATGCGTCGGTTTGAAGTTTGGCTGGTGGTGTGGAGCAGAATCTATGCGAGAGTTTGTAGAAATTTTGAGGGAGGCACGATAATTCCTTCAGTTGTAGGAAGGAATTCCTGCTTTCCTAGAACAAAGAAACACCCAACAGCTTCATCCTTACGCAGGTATCAAAAGAACGTTTTATCAAACCGTGTGCCTCCCGGGGGTACCGTCTCGGGAATAAAAGGCCGGGGAGCTGGAATTCCACCTGGCCGATTGTTGTTTTCCCCCACTGATGTAAGAAATACTTGGCATTAACCAAAGCCCGCGTCTTTGCTGCGCGTCGGGGTGTCTTGGGTTACACCAGGCTTGTTCTTTGATGTGTGATTATTCAGTTCAGGTTTTTTTTTTTTTCCCCTCCAGCTATGGAAAATACCACTGTGCGGGTACTTGAGCCCGTCATGGCAGTGGAGGTGATGGCGCCCACTGAATTCCAAGGAGCAGTGATAGCTGGAATCAACCGCCGTCACGGGGTGATCACCGGACAGGACGGCACAGAGGGTTACTTCACTCTCTACGCCGAGGTCTGTGTTGCTCGCCGGCTCCTCACCTTTTCTCCCCCTGCCTGGCCTTTCGACCCCGTTGCTGTCCTGCTTAGTGACTAACGTGCCTGAGCTTGTAGCCCGGTTTTTCAGTGCACAAATGTCAGGTTTTTTCCTTGGCTAAGCGTGACGTTAATTTTCAGCTCGTGGCAGTGGGTTGTGCAGCATCGCTGAATCTGTTCTGAACCTGTCCTGCTCCAGAGAACCCGCCTTGCGAACCTCCCACCGCCCGGTGGCAGAGAAAGGAGCAGAACTTGGGTTTCTTGAGGCGGCGGTGCTGCCTCAGAGCGAAACCAGCCTGTGCAGCCATCCAGGCGCACGGGGTTCGGGGGAAGATGGTTTTGTCAGCTCTTCCTTCAGCTCCTGCGTGCAGCAAATGCAGATAAACGCAGATGACTTGTCCCCAGCGTCCCTTCTGAAGACGTATTCCTTCTCGCGTTGGGTGGCGGGAGGGTAAATCGTTCAGCAAAGCCTTCGCTGGTGACAAACCCCACGCTGCGTCGGTCCGGCTTCGTGTTCAGAGCTGCAGCCTTCAGAGATACTTCAAACCTTGTGATCTCTCGCTGAGTGATGCAAATTACTGAATTTGGGATACTCTGGTATCTGGTGCATTGGAACTCAGAT